GTCTTTCCTATGTTCCTTCATTGGACTCGCCTAATGGGTTCTTTCTTGGTTACAGGTTGGTGCCTCGGAGTGTTACTTTGCCCGTTCCCTCGGAGATTCGTCGGGATCCCCACCCCCGGTGCCTCCTGTTGTTACGTTGCCCGCTGCCCGGAGCTTCCTCGGGTTCCTTGGGTTCCTCCAGTTCCCCGCCCGCGGTGCTTCTTATTTTTCCGTTGCCCTGTTCCTCGGAGGTTTCTCGAGCTCCCCGAGTTTCTTGGGTTCCCTGCCCCCGGTGCCTCGTGTTCTTAGCCATGCCAAGCAATGCCAAGCAATGCCAAGCAATGCCAAGCACTACCAAGCATTGCCAAGCAACTCCAAGCAATGTCACGCAATGCCAAGCAATGCCAAGCAATGCCAAGCAATGCCAAGCAATGCGAAGCAACGCCGCAACGCCAAGCGATGCCAAGCAATGCCAAGGAATGCCAAGCAATGCGAAGCACTAGCAAGCAATGCCAAGCAATGCCAAGAAATGCCGCGCAATGCCGATCAAAGCCAAACAATGCCAAGCAATGCCAAGAAGCGCGCCCATGCATTAGGAAGCTTTCTCCTAATTGAGGTCGCGCCGGGTTCGTTCTGTTTACACTCTGATTGTTTCTGGTCCTTCAAAATGCTGCTCCCGCTTCAGCGTTGGCTTAAATTCTTCACGCTTCACGTGCCCCCACCAGCCCGTTCAGAAACGTTGCCTATGAGAGCTGACGGGAAAAGGGGCGAAAAGCGGGCAACCAAGATGACCAGAGGGATCTCTGAGAGCAAGGGGGTGGCCTTAGAGGGCCTCTTCGGGCCATCCCTGGGGCCCGAGCGGGGGCGAGGGGAGGAGGAGGGGACAAACTGCCCCTTGCGGCCCTCGTGGGACGCTCTTGGGGCGCTCTTGAGCGCTCTTATGGCCGTCTTGGGGCCGTCTTGGGGCCCTCTTGGGGCTCTCTTGGGGACCTCTTGGAAGCGTAAACTCTCCGAAGGGAAGGGGGTCTTTGGAAGAGAGAGAGACATACGCACATATATTTCTGTATTTATGTATTCATATATATATATATATGTATGTATATGTATGTATATATATATATATATATGTGTGTACATCTATATGTAATTAATAAATACATATGTGATCCCGGCTCCCAGTCTGGCGGCCCCCCCCCAGATGGGATGGCCCCCACCCCGGCCCCAGATGGGATGGGGGGGACGACGTCGCCGCCGTCGTCGTAGTCGCCGTCGTCGTCGCCGCCGTCGTCGTCGCCGTCGTCGTCGTCGTCGCCGCCGCCGCCGTCGTCGTCGTCGTCGTCGTCGTCGTCGTCGTCGCCGTCGTCGTCGTCGTCGTCGTCGTCGTCGTCGTCGTCGTCGTCGTCTCCGTCGTCGTCGCCGTCGCCAGATTGAGCGCGCACTTGACATCATCGGAAGTGGCACACCCACACGCTTGCCCTGTCCCCTCTCTTTCCTCCCTCCCCCCCTCTCCTGCTCCCCCTCTCTGCCTCCTCTCTCCTCTTCTCCCTCCCCGCCCCCTCCCCTCTCATCTGGGGCCCTCCGAGTCTCCCAGGCGCGAAGCGATGCAGTTTGGGGAAGTTGTCATGGGACAGATGAGGACAGGGAGGAGGAGAAGGAGGAGGAGGAGGAGGAGGAGGAGGAGGAGGAGCAGGAGGAGGAGGAGGAGGAGGAGGAGGAGGAGGAGGAGGGTGCGTACGTGCTTGGGAGGAAACGTCTGCCTGCTCCCCCCCGCCGCCACTCGGTCTGTTCGCCCCGCCACGCGGTCTTGCTGAGCCACCCTTGACGACCTTCTGCGGTCCGCTACTGCTTGTCCTGGTGCGCTCGAGCACCTGGCTGCCTCCATCCTTGCCGTCCCTCTGGCACCTCTCCCTTTGGTCCCATCTCTCGGCGGATTCCCCCAGGAGGTTCCCGCGCGCTCGAGGACCTTCCTGCCCCCCCATCCTGCGCCCCCTTTGGTCGCCCCCCCTTTCGTCCTGCTCTGTAGGCTCCGCCCCCCGTGGAACTCTCGTGCAGCGCGGTTCCCCGTGGGTGAACCCTGCGCGCTGGGCTGCCTGGGTGCCCCGCCGCGGCAGGCATACTGTCCCTCTCGGCTCTCTCGACCGCCCGATTCCGCCGCGTCGCTGCGCGCGTGGCCGCGACGCCAAAAGTGGTTTGGTGGCTCTTCGACGTCTGCGATGTGCTGTGTGATGCTGCTCCGTCACCTGACTAAGCAGAAGCAGGCGCCGTGCTGACCATCATCCCCCCCGTCATTCGACACACCGCCCCCTCCCTCACTCCTTTCTCCCTCTCTCTCTGCGTCCCGCCTTCTTCCCCCCTCCTCCCTCGCCCCCCTTCCCCCTTCCCCTTCCTTCTCCCTCTTTCCTCCTTCCCCTTCTCTCCTGCTTCATCTCTCTTCCCTCCCCCCTCCCGTCTCCGTTAGCCAAATGACGGCACACAATTGATGTAACGCCAGGCTGCGTCCAAAAATCCTCCCATACTCGGGGAACACATGCGGTAAGTTCATGCGGTTCTGGCGCACCGGCGATGCCGGCGAAAGCGCTCAAGCTTGATACCCGCGACGCGGAAGCACCGATTGACACGGTAGCGCCAATGGAACCGACTGAATTCAATCTTGAACGATCGGGGCCGCGATCGATTCAAGCTTGAGCGATCGCCGATCGCTGCGGGGTCAAAAACCTTTGCGCGCGCCGACGCCGCACTAACCTTCCGTAGCGGCATAGGCGCAAAGTTCCGGAGATCCGCCCGGATTTCTCGGATCGGCGCTGCCCCCCACCCCCTGGCGGCGCCTCCAGCGCCGCCCCTGGCCCGCTCCGCGCGCCAGGGAAGGAGTCCAGCGCCGATTCATCGAAAAGTTCGCGCGGACCCCCGAGGAGCTATGCTTATGCTGTTGTCAGTTAAGTGGGCGCGGCTCTACCCGCAGGAGAGCCAGATGGACGCTCGCTCGCTCGCTCGCCCTCCCTTGTCTCCCCCTGCCTCCGAGCCGTGCGTACTCCCTCCTGGGGCTTGCCGGTCGGCCCCCCCCGAGCTTCCGCCTCGTCTGCGGCCCGCGGGGGGCGATACCCATGGAGAGCGCGCCGGTGGCGGCCTGGTCGCCGAGGCCGCGGCGCCTGCGTGGGCAGGGCAGCGGGCGCGGTCTGGCCCGGCCGTTCGCGGTCCGCCCGGGCCCTCCTCGGTCCCCGCCTCCCCGCCTCCCCGCCTCTCGCCCACCCCTGCCACCTTCCCTCCTCGTGGCTTCCAGCCTGCCCCTCCCTTCTTCGTCCCTTCCGTTCTGGTCCCTTCTCCACCCCCCCTCCCTGGCCCCCCCCCCGCCCCTTTTTGCAGGCCTAGGCCATCCCGAGTGCCCCCAGACCCTGCGTTCGACCGCTCGCGGTCGTTCGGTCCTCCCCCCCCCCTCTCCTGCCTTTGGCTTGCTAACTTGGCAGGTGACTTTTTCTTTCCTTTCTTCCTTCTCCCTCCCTCCTTGCCCTCCCCCTATCTCCTCCCCTCCTCTCCACACGCTTTCACCAGTTACACAATATGAATACTACTCTCCTCTCTCTCTTGACCCTGTCCGGAGGATGTCCCGCCCCCTTCCGCGTCCTATTTGTTCCGCAGGACTGGGCCGAACTTGTTTTTTGTCAGATGTTTTTTGCAATCCGATCGTTTTCAGTTTATCAAAAATGGCACTCTCGCTGCAGCGTGGACCTCATGTTCGGATCGGCGCTGTGCTCCCGTCGTTCAGAATGGCGCTTCCGCCCCAGCGTGGGCCACTTTTCTGGATCCCACAGGTCTCGCAGGTATCGCAGGCCCCACAGGTCGCACAGGTCCCGCAGGACCCACGGGTGTCGCAGGTCGTCCCACAGGTCCTACAGGTACCACAGGTCTGACAGGTTCCACAGGTCCCTCAGGTGTCGTAGGTCTCGCATGCCTCACAGGTCCACTCGGTCCGACAGGTCCCGCAGGTCCCGCAGGTTTCAGAGGTGTCGCATGTCTCACCAGTCCCACAGAGGTCCCGCCCCCATCCGCGTCGTGTTTTTCACACGCAGGATATTGCCGAACTGTTTTTCTACATGGTTGCACAGGTCTCGCAACTTGCCCAGGTCCCACAGGTCTCACAGTTCCCACAGGTCCCACAGGTCCCACAGGTCCCACAGGTCCCACAGGTCCCACAGGTCCCACAGGTCCCACAGGTCCCACAGGTCCCACAGGTTCGCAGTTTCCACCCGCCCCACAGGCCTCACATGTCCCACACGTCCCACAGGCCGCAGAAGTCCCACAGGTTTCACAGGTCCCACAGATCGCACAAGTGCCACGGTTCCCACCTGCCCCACAGGTCCCAGGGGTCACCTTAACTGCTATCAGGGTGCTCTGCTGGGGTAAAATGGTTCCAGGTCGGCTATGACACGCGTCCGCGGATAGAGAAGCCATCAGCGCAACCGGAAGGGATGAGAGGGATGGATCGGATGTCAGATATGGCGCGAGCGCACCTAGCTTGCCTCTCATCCCCTCTCCATCCCCTCTCCCCTTCCCCCCCCGCTCCACGGGGAGGAGGAGGAGGAGGCGGAGGAGGAGGATCCTATTGCCTTCCCCCCTGTCGAAGTGCGCAGGGCGAAGCCGATGTCTGACGCCCAGGCAGCCAGAGACAGTCGAGTCCCGCGCGACCCGCGCTGACAGCACACAGGGAGGCGAGGTACTGTCTGGGTTTGCGTGCGGGGTGGGTGGGTGGGGATCCGCTGATATCCTGGTGAGCTCAGGAAGGGGCGGGAGTTGCACGTTTTGGCAACGCCCAGGCTTGCGAGGTCCTGTTTGGACCTTGAGAGGAGGAGCACCACCTCATCTTCCCAGATGCCTGTGCCAACTTTCGCAACTGTGCTAGCGCACCATTCAGTGGGGCGACGCTCCATCTCCGTGTGTCTTGGGGACCTCTTGAGGGCCTTCTTCGACTATTGGGGCCACCACGGAGTATCTTGCGGGCATCTTGGGGCTCTCCGGGGGCGTCTTGGGAGCTTTTTGGAGCCCTCTCGGACCTGCTTGGGGCGTGGACGTGCACGGCTCTCTCTCTCTCTCTCTTTCTCTTTGCCTCTCTCTCCCTTGGGCCGTCTTGGGGCGTTTGTGCGCCCTCTGTGTGATCTCTTGGGCCGTCTCACTGACATGTTGAGCAGTCTTGGCCCACGTGGATGCCGTTTCGGGCACTCTTGGGCTCCTCCTCTGCCGTCTTGAGGAATCACTGCCCCACTTTCGGGTCGTCTTGGTGCCCTCTTGGGCACTCGAAATACATCTTGGCCGAACATCTAGGTGAGCAACACTGGTCACAAGCTTCATATGAGTTGGGATCTGTTCGCTGTCTGGGCCCTCTCATCAGTTATCAGGGGACGTCTCTTTGGTCCTCTTTGCTCATCTTCGAGGTCTTTTGGGTATCTCTGGGTCCTTCTTGTGCCGTCTTAGACGCCATCTCGAGCATCTTGGAGGCTTGCAGACTGCCAGGGAAGCGTCGGGGGGAGGGGTAAGGCACGCAAGTTTATACGGCGAGCGCGGAAATGGTGCCCCGACATGCAGCACTGGGCATTATACCACCCCGCTGCGCGCCAGTGGGCATGGTGACGGATTTCGAGCGAGGATCCGACCAGCGGAGGTGGAGGATACGTCAACATCGGCCACTCAGCGAGAGTTGACTCGAGCATGGAGGGGGATGAGGGTGGAGGAGGATGGTGGAGGAATCTAGTATGGTAGTGGAGCTGTGATTCGGTTCCACGATACTTCTGGCAGGCGATCGTTCGCATGCATATTAGGTCGACGTCGTCTACCCGTTCATCCACGCGGCTGACCAGTCCAAGGTCTTGGGCAACAAGGCGGGCCACCAACAGAGCTCAGCGCTTTCATGCCTCGTGTTCTCCAGCCAGTGTCTGCACGAAAAAGCTATTCTTTTCTATTGAGTTTACCCCAGATGGCAGAATTCCCAGCGTTGTCCGGCGTTACGGTCCTCTCTCAGTTTCCCTTGGGCAGAGTTTGGTTGGCGGGCTTTCTCGCGGTGCGTGGCGGTGCGCGGCGAAACGGTCCCACACGACAGGTTTACACACGACAGTATCCCGCACGCTATCGTCCCACACGGTAGGCTCCATCACGATAGGCTCCCACACGACAGGGTCCCCGACGGAGGTGGAGGACCCTACACATTTTCCCGCACGATCTTCAGCACGGTTCCACGCTGCGTGTGTTTTCCTTCCCATGCCCAGCGTCGGTGCTCTAGACTTCGCCCCCCTCCTTGCGCAAGAGGAGTCTGAAAGCGGCTAAAAATCGAGCGAAGCTCCCTCGGGACGAGCAATACTCTAAACATTTAGGTTAAAATGAGGGGGGGCCCAAGTCCTCGTGGGCCTGAGGCCAGAGACTGCGCGAAGAGGACGGTCAGCAGGAGGACGAGGGATGACGATGCCGATGCTGCTGCTGCTGCTGATGGCGGTGGTGCTGGTGGTGATGATGCTGATGATGGTGATGATGATGATGCTGCTGTTGATGGTTATGATGATTCTGATGATGAAGATGAATCTGGTGATAATGATGATGGTGATGATGATGCTGATGCTGATGCTAATGATGGTGATGGTGATGGTTGTACAGATGGCGGTTTTGGTGGTGGTATCGGTGATGATGACGACGATACTGCTGCTGATGATGATGATGCCGATGCTGGTGATGATGGTGAGGCTGATGGTGGAGGAGGATGATGTTGATGGTGATGATGATGGTGATGGTGATGGTGACGGTGATGGCAATGGCAATGGCAATGATGATTGTGAGGATGATGATGATGCTGATGATGATGGTGATGCTGATGCTGATGATGATTATGATGATGATGCTGATGATTATGATGCTGATGATTATGATGACTATGATGCTGCTGCTGCTGCTGCTGCTGATGATGATGATGATGATGATGATGAAGGCGTTGGTGGTGATGCCGATGTTGATGCTCATGTTGATGTGAGAATGAGGAGGAGGAGGAGGAGGAGGATAATAGTAAACATACAGCGAACCGTACGGTCAGTAGTAATACTAATCATAACAAACATACAACGTATTAGTATTCATATCACAAGTAGGAATAATACTAGTAGTAATGGTAGCACTCGTTTGGATAATAATTAGCATACAACGACTAGCATGAATATTAATAATATCGAATAATAGCCATCGTATTAACAAGACTACGAATCATACTAATAATAGCAAGACTATTGCTACTCCTCCTACTCCTCCTACTACTACTACTACTACTACTACTACTACTACTACTACTACTACTACTACTACTAAGAAGAATATGCATACACATCATAATACTATTAATAATTCTAGTATTAACAATACTAATAATAAACAGACTAAGGATAAGAGAAGGACGAACACTACTACTACCAATAGTAGTTTAAACAACTCATACTATTAGTAATGATATCGTAGTAGTAAGAACAACAGCAATGATAATACGACTAATAACATGAA